ATCGCTCAGTCACCTTTGGGGGTGGGGGCGGTCACTTCGTATACTAAATAAACGAATTCAGGTGATTTAATGTTATGTAGTTTTAAGAGAAGCAAACAATGATGCATAATTTTGACTTGTTGTCTTGTGTTGATTGTATGTTCTTTGCATCTTTAAATACTTGAAAGATTCTTATGAAACTGATGGAATGGATTTTACAAAAATATAAATAACGACAGGTGAGATTTTTTAGACCACACACACTTAAAAAAATAATTTAAGTTGAAAATAATAAAAGAAGAAAAAGGGTAACGTGCGTTAATATTCAGTAGAAGATGTAGTTTCAATTATTACGACATTTAAACTGAAAGATAATTAGATGATATAGTTTCAACTATTACGACATTTAAACTGAAAGATAATTAGATGATATAGTTTCAACTATTACGACATTGAAACTGAAAGATAATTAGATGATATTGTTTCAACTATTACGACATTTAAACTAAAGGATAATTAGATGATATAGTTTCAACTATTACGACATTTAAACTGAAAGATAAATAGATGATATAGTTTCAACTATTACGACATTGAAACTAAAGGATAATTAGATGATATAGTTTCAACTATTACGACATTTAAACTAAAGGATAATTAGATGATATAGTTTCCACTATTACGACATTTAAACTGAAAGATAAATAGATGATATAGTTTCAACTATTACGACATTGAAACTGAAAGATAAATAGATGATACAGTTTCAACTATTACGACATTTAAAGTAAAGGATAATTAGATGATATTCAACTATTACGACATTGAAACTGAAAGATAATTAGATGATACAGTTTCAACTATTACGACATTTAAACTAAAGGATAAGTAGAGAATGTATTTTCAGTTATTTCGACATTTAAAATGAAGGTTAAGTACAGGATGGGTAATTATAAGGTTGAGGGTAATAAAATCAAATATATAACGAAACACAGATGTCGCCATAAGCAAAGATTACTGCATTACGTAGGTTAATGTAAGCACTGTTGTGTGCTCATTTATTAATTCATAAATCAAACAACCTTTCAAATGTTTTGGTAATAAATTGTTATTTTGGTTATATAAAAAATAATTTGACCTCATAATGACCTTTTATGACTCTAGTCAACCTCTACTCGGGGTTAGATCTATATAACTAGTTCTCAAACAACAGTCATATACCTTCAAGTCTAGATAGGCTGTGTTTTGTTATCCCGTGGGTAGCGGTACCTCGGAAAACAAGGCTTTGTTTTTTTTTATTCGTTCCTTATCTAAATTGTTTTTCCCTAACATCAGCTGATAGTATTTCAGATGAGATAATATAAAATCAACAATTTCTTTCGTATTGTTAATACAGTGTGTTAATCAGTTAAAAATAAACAACAACAAAACAGTTATTTAGACTCATAATCCCAGCATTGTGCATATTAGTACATTGTTAAGGAACTCTTTCTAAATTTGTTTAAAATGTTTTCAATAAAAAAAAATTATGTAACTTTGAGATTAAAGAACGTTATTGGAGCAATGCTGCTTTTGAGTGTTGTTGCTAGCTGGTGCAATAAAAATTTCTACTGATTAACTGTGTGATTTCTGCTTATTAACTGTGTGATTTCTGCTGATTAACTGTGTGATTTCTACTGATTAACTGTGTGATTTCTAATCATTAACTGTGTGATTTCTGCTGATTAACTTATGATGTTTGCTTATTAACTGTGTGATTTCTGCTGATTAACTTATGATGTCTGCTTATTAACTGTGTGATTTCTGCTGATTAACTGTGTGATTTCTACTGATTAACTGTGTGATTTCTGCTGATTAACTTATGATGTCTGCTTATTAACTGTGTGATTTCTGCTGA